GTATTGTACTTGGTCCTGTTGCGACAACTGCTTTTATTTTGGAGCGAAAGTAGAACCGGAAGTACCTTTTTATGCTTCCTGTTAGCTTTATCCATACGTTTTTGGCTACAAATTGCCATGTTTTTAGCGCTTGAGATTTTATTTACACGCCGTATTCTCTTTGTTTTTGTTGTTTAAACCGAACTCGCGTTTTATGTTTACGAAGATGTCGTCAGCTTTTATTAGCCCTTAGTTTCGCAGCTTTTCTCTTTGTTTTTGTTAGYCCGTGTTGGCTAACCAGTCTGAGGCAGGTGACATTTAATGTTGTGCACCATAATATAAGCAGAATCATTAATGGCAGCTCGGCAGTTCTTCACAGATACGGACATTTCGGATGAAGCTGTGAGGGCGACCTGTGACGATGCAACCACCTGCAAAAGGTACCAGGAAGGCAGCAGGAATGAAATCATTTTGCTCCCGTCTGACTTCACACACATACATTCATATCAAAATAACTCACTTTTAGAAAACTTCCAATTATAAATACTCGGTTGACATGTAAATAATGTTTAATAAATTGCGTTTTTGCCATTTAATATAAAATTTGAACCTTTTGTAATTTCCTGGCTCTGTCCGATAATAGCCACATATGGCTCTCGACAGTGGTCAGCAGCATYTAGTTTATTATTAGGCTGTGAGAGAGAATCCAAACCTCAAAACGGAGCAGAAAGCTACACAGATCTTTACAGCTCTGTCATTTGAGAAGTTTTACAATGTTTCATTTTTCAAAAAAGAATTTTGAGTTAGAGATGTTAAATATATGATGGTTATCAAATGATTTGGCTTTAAGGGATATTTTCTCATCCACTTTGTGTCATCTGTTCTTTAGGTTTGCCACCAGTAAATCCTACTGGAAGGACCTTTATATCCAGTACTTTGTGAGATCTGTAGGAGAGCGGAAGGCACCAGAAATTAACAGAGGCAAGCAATGCAATATTCCCTTACATCATTACATCATGTTGGGTTTTTTTATTTTATTTTATTTTTTGTTTATTTTATTTGAATCAGTGGCACAGCTGGGTAAAGATGATGGATGGATAAAGCAAGTTAAATGTTCTGTTCTGTCACGGTAAAGAAAGCACTGATCCAGAAATTGAAACTGTTGATTTATTAGTCCATATACACTCACCGGCCACTTTATTAGGTACACCACGCTAGTAACGGGTTGGACCCCCGTTTGCCTTCAGAACTGCCTCAATTCTTC